GATCATACTTGCTTAAACATATTAAATTATGATGGTCTAAATAAGGATACACATTCGATATTATTGACTTATTTTAATCTTGGAGCTTCATTTACACTTTGACAAATCTTTCTTGTTTTTCTAAACACATCAATGTAAATATTTTTCGTATGTAAATAAAGTATCGAGACTACCATTAAATCGGTAATATGAAATGTATTCACCCTATTTCGTTTAAGGCGATGAAGGACTGGTTATAGAATTTTCACATAGCCTTACTTTCCTAAAAGTTGTTCTCATCCAGAGTAGACTACAGATATTACCTCGCATATGTCTTATCAACACCTTATCAACAACAATACACCTCATATTAAGGTAAATACATGAATGAGTAAAAGACTGAGTGCAATTTCTATGGCAATGCGTTGGCACTAAATATTTAGGTGTCATTAATGCTTTTATTTAACATATTTTTTCTATTATATGATTCTTTCAGTTAACGTCTTACTCTGCAGACACTATTCCTGATATCGAGTTTTGTCTCATTACTGCATGATCGGAGTCAAGGATTATTCAAATGGACACTTTAATAGGAGAATTCTAATAACTATATGAATACATAAAATTTATGTAATGTGTTTCCGTTTATAAGTGAGTGTTCGAGACTACCAGCGGTTCCTATATATGAAATGTGATCGCCCTAGTTCGTTTAAGATGATGAAGGAATGGTATTTGAATTGTCCCCACAACCACATGAGTAAATCATACTTTACCCTTGAATGCCACATGGCATTGCTTCCAAAAAGATATTCTCATTTTGTCCCCGACTAGGTCTCCTTAGCACCCCTGGCAAAACTTTAATCATGAGAGTGACCGTGATAGTCTTTCATCACTTTAAACGGAATAGGGTGTTCACATCTCATATATCTCACGTAATTTGTGCCTCACAAATAAATTTGCCAAGTTTATTCAACTTATATAGAAATTTTCAAAATATATGGCTTTTCCTTCGAATTAATAAGATAAAAGTATCCTGTCTGAGCTTGCGATACTGAAAAACAATAATAAGCTCAGTGTAAAATTCATTAACATTACTTTCTGGTATACCACCCTTTTTAATAATAATATTAGGTAATTATTAAGTATAATCTAAATAAATGTATCGCTTAAACTCACATTTATTTTTGTACGTAAATTATCGAGTAGCATACTTGTCAATCAGTAACCTAACACCCCAATGCAGAGTGTCAAAATATTAACAGGACTTTAATTAAGAGAGCTTTATTGTTAAGTTATTTCCTGAAATGAAATAAATAAATGTGATTTAACGTGCTTATAGTGAATAATTAAGTATTTAATTCGTTTTGAAGAAATTAGAACATTAAATTTTCTTAGGAAATAGTACTATAGAAGAATATTTCCATGGGATTTGAAAACACTTATAGTTGTATTATTCTGGGTTTATCCTAGCAAATCTTATTTAACTAATACTTTATGTCTAATTTAGTTTAGTAACTTAATTGTAGATGTATAATTATCTTATGGAACTTTATTTAACAAGCACGGATAAAATGCAAATATGTAATATTATTTAATCGTAGTACTAAACCACTCAACATTTATGATTTTTAAGGCCCTGAAACACCCTTTCAACAGATAAAAGGAGTGATACAACTAGGGATTTTTTTATTTTCTTTTAAAATATTCTCTTTGCTATGATAAGAATTACTTTATATCTGGAAGCTGAGCGCCCTAATATGAAAGAGCTTGTCTCTTAATGTGAAACCACCTAAAATTTACATCTCTTGAGTAAAACACATATATTGCAGAAGCGATGTGAAGCCTATAATAGATATCGTATCGCAGATATAATAACATGTAAAACAATTTGAGCCAGGTAATCATAAGAAGTCAAGTTACCAGTTTTAGGAAAAAGATTAAGAAATAACTGCCTACTACGTTTTATTATCTCTTTTACCTTTGAACGAGCGGATTTTCATACTTATAAAAGAAACTGGAACTGTGAATAAGCATATCATTTAATATTAGGTTAGCTTCCTGGATTTGAGATTTTATAAACTTGTACAGAAATTCGTGTTCATATTTCTTGCATTTATTGAAGTTTAACCTAATAAGCGAATCATTTTAGTTTAAGACTCAATCTCCCAACAAAGTCAAGCATTTCATGTTTTGGAATTATTTTAAGAGTTATCCAGTAATCAGTGTGATTGTAATCAGAAATGGTTGGCAATCTACCTCGTGCTCAAATTATATCATTGTTTGTTCCCCAATTTCCCTAGTCTCATCGAAAAAATCATATAGTTTGCTTTTCAAGACAAAACGTTCTCCGTATTTACATAAGCAAACCCAAAGTAATATGGTTTTAAAAATTATCGAAAAGGACATAATACTAAAGTAATCTCTACTGCCGAAAATATTTGCCATGACGTCGCCCCAACTGTTAAACACTAGTTTAAATATTTATCGTTATTACAGAGCGAATTTCATTTTTATTCAGTCGGTTTGGATTTAGAATTAAGTTATTTCCTCCTATGTCTATTTATAAACATATAAGTGTTGCATGATTAAAATTTATTAAATAATGTATTTGAATATAATTTGTTTTCAACGATCTCAATAGATTTGGTGCCAGTATAAGTTAGCTAGGGATATAGCGTCAGTTTCACAGGCATCCGAGATCTGGCTAGTACTCTTTTGTACATCTCATAAAGCTCGAAACAACTATTTTTTTGAAATATTGAAGACTCGCAGTAAGTAGAAAGTTACTTCCATATAATTTTAATTCTGGCAAAACTGATGGAAATTACTCTTCAAGTATGCTTCTTGTGCAACTCATTCATCACTTTCTCGAACACTTGTAATGGAGTTTTAATCAAGCTCTTAGTTAAATTACTTTTTTAAAAGTCCTCTTGACTTAAATTAAGTTCAGCTCCAAATCGCAATTAGAACGTCTTTTACAGTTCTTTAATTTGAAGGAATAAATGCACTAATTTTATTTAATGTAAGATTCTACATCAATAATTATATACACTAGAGAATAATAATAAACATAAAAAATGGGAAAGCAACTTAGCCGGAAGTTATATAAAGTATATGCAAGGTTTATTCCTTTTTTGTTAGTATCTTTTATTTCAAAAGTTCTTCACTTATATTAATTTGAACAGTAGCAGATGATATTGCAGCTTAATTTAGTTTGACTTTCATAGTATAGAATCTGCCGCTTGTATCGTTTATTATTATATTAAAAATGCCGAATTATCTAAGATATACTTAGTTTCCTAAATATCGGAACCAATTACTTACATATCAAGAATATTTTATAAGTTGTTAAAAATCTAAACCTTCATTTAAATAAACTCAGAAACAACATTTTCAGCCATCAACTCAAGTTCTTTTAATTTTTATTCTATTCTTTGCTTGATCCCCTTTCTTTTATTGCTCCATCATAACACTATTTAAAGATATCACATTAACATCGGATTGCTGTTTTCAAATAAAATATTTTAAGACGGAATTTCTTTTAGCCTACAACATAGGCACACCTACTATTACCCAATCTGCGTAGATACGCAAATACATAATTTATTTTATGTGTTTGTGCATTCTCATAAAAGAAAACTAGAAAATGTATCACTAAATATTTCATTATTAATATCACTGTGCAAAAAATGAAATATAGAAACTGCTAAATGAATTTAGCAAAAATAATTATGTTGTTTGAGTTTTGCTCGAAGTGGTATATTATATATATATATATATATAAATATATATATATGTATATATTCTCAGAAGTTCTTGTCACAGACAAGTTCAGCCGAGCAATTTACAAAAGTATATATATATATTCTGAATTGCCTTTGTTCAGCATGCAATATATACATTCAAGCATAACTGTATTACTCGGGGGTGATATTTACACCTTTAATCATTACTTATTCAGAGCCACTTCATGCTCCAATCTGGCTTGAATAATTATTTTATTGGCAAATGGGCAATAGAGACTCATTAGCCCAAGTACATGAGGAAGATATAGATTACTTATGCTGCTTTTTAAATGCTAGTGCTGGGCATATTAAATGCAAGGGCGTGTGACTTTTCCGGATAGTCTCTGGTGGCTAAATCAAAGGTGTTTTCCTCAATTACGTCTGTTTCACCCAGCAATTCACTCTCCTGAGGGCAGAGTCTTCTATGTAGTCTGTTCATTCGATCGCATTTCGTTGTAACCTCAATACGATCTTGTAGATCATCGCCAGTTTGGTTAAGGTTTTGCGTAAATGGCAATGAAGTCTCAGCCTTTGGACCAATACCGGCTAGTTTTCCTTCAGCAATTACGAGGTTTGAAGAGGTGGGCTCGACAGATATCATAGTTGGTTTACCTGAGGTTTGAGGATCTGAACAATATTTCTTTTTATTTTCGACTTCTAACTTCTCCGATATATCGGAAAAATGATATTCAACCTTGCATTTATCTGTGCATTCTTTTTTCCCGGTTTCTCTTCCTGTTCCTTCCACAAATTTTACTAAAAGTCCGTTTCTTTCAGCAATTATTTCGGATGAATTCAATATGTTTCTACGTGGCAAACCGATATAGCAAGTGGCAATGGTCCCTTCTAAGTTTTCTAACTCTGTTTCATTCTTTCTCTTTGTCTTTTTCACAGCCAATGCGCTAGTATTTTTGCAACATGGAATGCTCGTGAAACAATTTTTGAAGTTGAACCTTGCGGTATGTTGCATAGTAGTAGAAATTCGAGTCTTTGAGGGACGGAAAAAGAGGGCGTAAAAGTTTTGCCGAAACTGGGCTGACATAATCCAGTATATAAAAAAGTTCAGCTTATATGATATCAGGATTATCAGGTTACATACAACTGTCGGAAGGCGGCTAAAGGGCGTAGATGCTTCTGTCTGATTTATGCTGGCAAAGACCTCATCATTGGGGCTCTTGAGATAGAATTGCCTGTCGTCAGTTGTCGTCTGATGACTAGGATTAGCCGTGTGCGTATTCACCAAATGCACAAATTGACCCAGCGTCACTATGGCTGTTGGTATTTGAGCAAGAAGAAATATGACGAGAACCACAATTAATAACTTAGAGGTGTTGTGCGGATCTGTACCTGATGATGACTGTGTGCCACCTGTTTTAGGACCAATCCGCTCGCGACAAAGGCCGGTGGATTTTGGTACTTGTAAGAGCCGTTCGGCCGAGTTTAAGTCAGGAGTAGACTTTTTATTATTGTACATTGCTCTGAATAGACAGCATGAAAAATTCCTCGGATGACAGTCGGACAGAAGACTTTTAAAGCAGCGATGTTGATGAGTAAGAGATGGTTTATTTTCTGTATCTAAGGGCCCGTTTAATGGATTAGGGGGCTCTGTAGTTACACACATGTGACTTTCCTTCACCTTACTTGAAACTGGGCTTAAGTGGTTAGCTTCATTGCGGACGACCTCCGGAAAGATGGATGATGGACGAGGAGAAGCAAAGAGCCGTTTTCGTCTACGAGAGATTCGCTGCATCCCGGCGATAAGAAAACCAGTTAACAGGATGAGCAAAATACATGGGAGCACATTGTGGCACATCACACGAAACCAGAAATAGATGTACATGCCTTGTCGATTCGTCAGATGGCACTTCATAATCACGGTTTGTGGAAGGTTGTTATTCTTTTGTTTGGACAAACCCAACACATTTGGCCACGCCATTTGTACAGAGTCGCAGAAGTTGGACGTTTGGTTGGACGGCTCTAGATAAAATACATTTGCAGAACTGTCTGAAATGGATGTTGGTGAATTTGTGATAATGTCAACGGAGGATGTATTAACTGTATCCATAGGCTGCAACAGCACGACGGGAGCGTATGATACGAAGCGGACAGTTGCAATGGGCCAATGAAGTAAAAAGGCAGCAAGGAAGGCGAAAAGCCCAACTAGCTGGGAGCATCGCACCGAGGTCCATTGCCTCGCTTGTGTGGGCCAAGTTATGTAGATGAGACGCTGGCCAGCCAGGGCCACATTCAGCCATGTGGAAGCTGTATGACAAATAGTGGGTAGAAACACGGTCACCCAGTACCAGGCTTCGCTTGCCACCCGATTTGAGCTTGGCATGCTTAGAATATCTGGTATCAATTTTGCCAAATGGACAGTAGAGAATGAGGTATTTTCTGGTCTAATTGGTATATCCTGCACCATTCTCTCCCACCAGACTGTACCACCGATGAAACTGCGTCCTAGATACATGGGCAATGGCAGAAGGCCAGTAAATAACTCGGCAACAGCAATGGAAAGCAGTATGGAGTG